AACATAAATCCGTTGTTTGTGGTCTGTTGTAAGAAAAATTAGGACAATTATTATAATTATTTTCAGCTTATGAAATGATAAATTCTTCAATGATAATTTCGTAAAAGAAATGTTAAATATATTTACTAGAATACGTACATTCTGTTTAAACGTCACTTATTCAATATTCTAAACAAATAATGCTATAAAGTCCATACTATCAACTCGCCAATGAAATAATAGTTTGGAGATAGTCCCAGCAGCACGAGTTATTACACCGTTGTTTAAAATTTTGATTTCCCTGATTCTAACTCGGCAAAGAATGTCTTCGGTGGGGAAGGGATTAAGTATTCCATCTCGTACATGAGGCATAAGGCTTCTTATATTAAGTCTCGTAAACGAGACTTAATATAAGAAGAAATTAAATATTCACTTAGACATGAAACGATGCAAGGGCGGAGCAAGTTTGATACTGTTGGCGTGTTCGACCCTGTAGTTTTTAATTGCTCTTTTCTATGGCAATAGTTTGTAATTAGACACCCATTTAGCGCCAGACTAAAAAAAATACGTATGGCGCGTTTCCTGTTGTTAAGGTGTTTTTAATTTATTTATATTCAATATTTTTGTGGACTACGCAATGCATTTTAAGTGACCTTTGGGTCCACTGTGCGTAGCCCCGTCGCCGCCACTCTCACTCTCACTCTCGCCGCGGAGAAAGCGGGCGGGGAAAGCGCGCCGCTGGGCGCCGTGCCCCGCGCCGCCGCCGCCGCCGCCGCCGCCCCCTGCACGACCCGTTCCCCCACCCTCCCGGCGGAAAGCCCCACAGACGCTCCGCGCTTCATTTTGGGTGAATGAAGGCAATAGCTAATAATTACGTTAACTATAAATTACGTCAAAAAGTATGTTTCTTATTTATGGAGTTGACACGGAAAGTAATGTTTAGGCTGAAACTTAATATAAGAATTCACGCAATACGTGAACCAGTACGTGTTACATTGTCATTTAACCTGAACCTTATCTATAAAGACATCTTTATTATTATTATTATTATTATTATTATTATTATTATTATTATTATTATGTCGAAATTTTCGAAATTTTTATTATAACAACTTGCTTCTCTATTGTTTAGCAACGTACGTTATTAAAACTTCCAATCCTTTAAGAAACTTCTTTTGAAACATATGATAATTACTCCATCTTACGGTGCAGATTGGTGTGAGCATGTGGGCTCGAAATCAGGGCTTGTGTTGGAATAAATTATTGATGTTTGATTGTTTCTTGTTTCCAGGCGCGGCAACTGCAATTGTCCGGAGCGCCGTAAGTACTCATGCTCATGTTTATCACGGGAGGTGGCGGTGTTTCTCCCCGCCCCCCAAAAAAAATAATGAGATCTACCACCGATTTACAAGTCGGATTGCGGGGTTTTTGGAACACGTATCTCCCGGGACTGCGGGACACCGCCCCACTCTGGACAAGCTCCAATCTCACTACTGGTCTTCAGACCCGACGAATATGTATACAGAAACTGATTTTTTTAATATTAATATGTAACATGTTGTTTTTTTTAGTTCTTTTTTATTTCACTTTCAACTGTAACGAAATAAATATTCATTTGTGTTATACTATATGCTGGAACGTAGTTGAGAAGTACTATGTGCATGAACTGAATATGCTGAAGTTTTGAGTCCATGACGAAACGGTGGAGAACATGCCATTCTTCTTAATTCCTTGTGAATACGATTGCCAACAATCATGAAGATAAAAAGTTATTTCTCGTACGTTTGCATTGAGAATTCCATTTTGTATTGTAGACTGTCTTATGACTTTCTATATAGAAACCTTGTTATGAATTGAATCTTCATTGATTGAATTCATTACATTTCTGATTATCCTTCTCTAATTTAACAATAAAAGTATTAGATTGTAATAATAATAATAATAATAATAATAATAATAATAATGAAAAAGATGTCAATAGATGATAACTACCTCTATCTTGCAAAGAAAGTGACATTTGTCTTTCTGAAATTATATAGTGTTAAAATGTGAACAAATTGTAAATATAAATTTAAATTATTTCATTTTAGAAGACCCTAACAAAATCTATCTAAAAAACTATCAATATAAAGTTACCAAATGTAGGAGTTCAAATATTGCATTTATTTGATTCGCTTATAATTCTTTACATTATTGGAATTTGTATTGAACATGTTTTATTTCGTAATCTAAACTATTTTGAATTATAAGTTATTTTTTATTGACTTAATGTTTGTGTTTTATCAGTTTTCTTTTATCAGAAAGTTCTAACTAATTTTTCTTTGTCACACAATAAATTTAATTTAAAAAGTAAAAATGATTAGGTAGTGCTTAGAAACAAAAGTGTTTTCACAATTAGTCGTAAATATCTTATGATTGTGTACTTTCTTTTACCTTAGTACTTTGTAGCATTTGAATAATAAGGAATTCTCAGGACACAAACAGGTCATTATCAAGGTAAAGGCACAAACAGTTCCAAATGTATTTATATTTATTGAGAGAAATTGTAGGTATACTATCAAGTAACATAAATATCGTAAGTTGGTTCTTATTCTAACAGTGAAATTGCTGCAAATTATTATCGTATATTTTTACAAATTATTATATTCACAATAATCTAGACAAATTTCAATATCATGTGGCACTAGAATAATATCAGGGTTTTGCTTAAATTCTACACATAAATTGATTTAAGATCAATGTCAATATGACACAGTCTTCAATTGATATTTCACAGTTCCCTGACAGAATTCAAACAAAACATTACACACGTACAGAACTGTAAACGAAGGCTGTAGTTCCAGTCCGCCAGAATAGGAACAATGAAATAAAACTCCGGTAAGCTCTACCAAAGTCCAAAACACGTACGTAAGAGGCATTTCTTAAAAGCCCAACACTATCGTTTTGCTTAGACTGCTACAAATCTTCTTGATGATCTAAAAACTTTAGATTCATCTGAAACATTTCCCGCCTATTTGTGTGAGAAGGTTATATCTAAGAGAAGAATAAGATAACACTCATCTCCATATAAAAGCGTTCCGACATCCAATGAAGAGTCGTGGCTGCACGAGAAAGGAAAGGGAAAGAATTCTAAATACGCGCAGGAAGGCAACCCCAGATAGGAATGGAATGCGAGGTGAGCAAGGTGGGTAACGAACAGATCACCCATTTGCGTAGGTCACGTTCGTTGACCCGCTGGTTAAAATGGCGGTAGGTTCCTAGAAAACAAGCTACACACAATTTTGACTTTAACAAGTTGGAATAAATCAGTCTTTACCTAATCCCACAACACAAGAATTAACATAAATAAAACTACAAAAAGTCGTTTTATGTCCAGTTTTAGAAAAATAATTATTTAATTACGACTCTCAAAAGTTATTTGTAAGCATTACGGTGAATGGAACTACAGCACTTCTCTGGCGCTCCGATGGGCTGGACTTCCGAGGACTTGAATATCATTACATTGTTTATATTAAATTGAACGCAATCCAGATGACTAAAAAAACACCGATAGTTCTGGGCAGAAAAGAAGAATACTAAGAGATACCACTAAAAATGCGAAAATTAATAACAAGCTGTCTGGGATGTTATTCACACAATACAAATCAGAAACCATTATCCCGGTTAATATTTATATAGGCATTTCAAGAATGATCTTTCAAAATATTTTCATCTGCAGATGTATTATAGAGACAATTTTAACTTTTTCATTATTAATTTTTTAATAATTTAGAGTGTTGTAATATTTGTTTACATTAGAAAAGAAAGATTAGAATAGAAGAGTTGACAAAAATAGAATGATGAAAAATTGAAGAAGGATACGAAAGACGAAAGACTATTAAAGACATGTAGGAGACAAAAATTGAGTAAGTCGACGAAGAAAGAACATAAAGAAAAATAATAAATTTAAAAGTCCAGAAATACAAGGTAAGGGCTCGTTCAGGACAACGTACGTAATAGTAAATAAAGACTGAAAAAACATAAAGATACTTTTATTAAAAATTGTAGGAAGAAAATTAAAGGTTAGAAATTATACATTTATTGCAGGAAACATATTGAAAGATCACCCAGAAAAAAGGGGAGTAAAAAACAGAGAGACGTAAAAAAAGAAAGGTAAAATGAATCATTTAAGAATGCCAATTAAGTAGTAGCAATAGAAGATGGTTTTCAAAAGAAACAGATGGGGAAAAATAAGAAGGCGAATAGAGAAGAGAAATAATACCCGTTAGCAAAAGGTAGCAAAGCAACAGATCAGAAAACGCTAAATAAGTGTTTATTTAGTGCCGATATAGAGCAAAGAAATCAAGAAATGTAATTCATTGCTTCTTCTAGTTCAATCCAGAAATCGAAAGGAGAACCAAAAACCGAGAGGGCTAGGAGAGCGTCTGGAGTCGTGGCACAGTAGTTCCGTCCTCGGGCGCCGTGTCCCTCCGGGCGCCTGTGGGTCGCTGGTGCCGCTGCGGGTGAGAGGAGACGGGGAGGGGAGGGGAAGGGAGGTGGGAGAGGGGGGTGGGCGCCTACTCCTCGATGTCGTCCTCGACGGCGGGGGCGGGGCGCGCGCCGGCGCCTGCGCGGGAGCGGCCCCCGTTGCGCGCTCGGTGCGCGGCCTCCGACTTGGGCTTGGGCTTGGGGTTCTCCAGCGCCGCCAGCTGCTCGTCCGTCAGGATGCCCTTGTACCAGTCCTTGCTGCAAACACACACACACACACATAAAATTCTTACTGTCACTTCTGTATTGTATCATAAGCAACAGCCAACTTCTACAAATGACCAAGCGTTTTCTACGCGTTGGCAAACTCTTGCGAGAAAATATAATAAAGTCCTATTGGTTGATTCGGGCAATAAAACTTGGACTGAGCACTTCTTACGGTCTGAGTTTCTTTATTAATAACTACTTTATTATTATTATTATTATTATTATTATTATTATTATTATTATTATTATTATTATTATTATCACAAAGGCACACAAAACACGTTGTCAGACCCCAAGACTTAACATATGTTTCTCTATGACGTGCTGCATTCGAATTGCGCCAAAAAAAACACCGTGATTGTTTTTGTTCGCGAGGGTTGTCAGGCCCAAAAACTTATCACACGTTTCATTATGTATGTCGACACACTGAATCCGAATCTAAAGCCAGTATTCTGCCAACATCCTCCAGTTTTTTTTTGTAACTTGAAAGAACACCGTGAAATTAACATCAGTACTTTGTTCTTAACCAAATAAGATTTCGTAGTGCAATTGTAGAAAACTGACAATCTTTCTTATTCTACTTTTTTCACTATTACTCAAACATCTTTTATTTTGTAAAAATATGGATCATTATTTTTTCTTGTCACTAATATTCCATGAAGCTTGAAACTGTATTACAATAGTCTATCCAATGTCTGTCGTAAATTACTAAATACTCGAGAAATAGTATTATCGATGATTGTTTTTGAAATCTAAGAATTTTTCCAGTTCACTACTAAGTTTTTGAAAGAAAACGGCAAATGTACTGCTAATCAAAGCATCTGAAGCCATTTACTAAACCGGAAGCATTTAAAACTCTGTAATATTAAGATCACGTTTTTAAGAAGTATTCGATAACGATGAATTGTCTGAAAATGTAATGTTTCACACACCTCGTGCGTTAATCTATAAGCAATATTTTGAAGTAATTGATTCTTATATGATGTTTAGTCGAAAGACGTTTTTGGTTTATAATTTCTCTTTAATGATTCGATTCTAATAGTGATAAACATTTACATTTTGGGTGAATGAAGGACATAGCTAATAATTACGACAACTATAAATTACATCAAAAAGTATGATTTTATTCATTGAATTGCCAGGGAAAGTACTTTTTAGGCAGAAACGTAATATACGAATTCGCGTAATACTTGAATAGCACATGGCCATATCGCCTGAACCTCATCTATAAAGATATCTTGATTTATTTATTTATTTATTTATTTATTTATTATTATTATTATTATTATTATTATTATTATTGTCACAAAAGTTTCGTAATTTTTAGTGTAACAATGTGCTGCAATATTGTTTAGCAATGTACGTTGTTAAAACTTCCAATCCTGTAAGAAACTTTCTTAAAAACATATGATAATTGCTCTATCTTAAAGAATATTACCGATGGCGTTAGTTCTGTGAATATGCATAAAATGCGTACAAGTATATTATACTTGTACGCATACAAGTATATTATTCTTGTACATAAAGAGAATACTCGGTTCCATATTTAACATTGTTGAGTTTTATTTTTGAGAATCTGAGACCTGAAGAAAACAGTAACTTCATTTCACAATCAACTGAAGATGAGTTTCCACAATTATTTCCCAATTTATTTGTACGTAATTGGACTAGAAATAACTTACATATTGTTCTTCCTTTTCAATACAAGCCATCTAGAATATCACCGATTACTAGTTGGAACTATAAGCAAAATGGGATTCCAACTTTTTTTTTGTAGCTAAGAACTGATTTAGACTTCATCAATTTTTCTAAGAATATCTTCCTGTAGTTTCATTTACTGAAAAAAAGACTCCGAGAAGCGATAAACATTATTTTTTAGAAGCTATGGTTCGTAACACTGAAAATGATGGTTACTTATTTCACAAGTTCGGATATTGTTTTTCATGAGTTCTTACAACTATTTGAGAGATACAAGGATCCTACAATCAGATGTTGAGTGTGACAGAAAAGTTAATAAAAACATGAACTTTTCTGAACAGTACAAACAGATCGGGAACCTAAATATCGGTTACAGTATTCATACATTGTTCAGAATTATATCACCTTGACGATTGAGCCAAGTCATAGTACTGTACTTGCTTCATTGAAGGTGTACGGATATATCAATTAATGTTTCCGATTAACGCCAAAAAACAGAGTATTTTGAGTTTTGTTTGGCATCATCTTGTATATCATTTATTTTCATTTGCATATTTATTAATAACCGCCTTTAAAAGGGAATTCATTTTGATGACAATACGAAGTTACCTAGTTTCTTTATGTTTAGGTTCTAGTCATAAGGTAGCCCATATTTAAGTTATCATGGAAAACCTCCATTAAGATCATTTTGTTAAACCCAAAGCAGTGAAGCGACTCTGAAATATCTTTCTATGAGAAAACGAAACTTCAATTGTCGAAACAAGGAAAGGAAGCAGATACCCCAGTTAATTCTCATTAAACGGCTGTTTGTTTTTAGTGAAACTCGCTAGTAATTTCCAAGCGAAGCAATTGAAGATAAACGACATTTAACTCGTAATTATTGCCGAATTTAATAAGTGGCGAAACTGGCCCAAGGTGGATACACAAAGAGAATACAAAAAAGCACTAAAGATGTTCAAAGAATATGAAAACAACTCTCCAATAAAGTGAACCGTAATGAGCTATAGCTTTCGAAGAAGTAAATTATTGGAGGCGCGAGCTTTTGACCGTTTAACTTGAAAGTGGCCATCCTAAAATGTGGCGTAAGATCTAGTCCTGACAAGGTAAAAATAAAAATGATAGAAACTTGTATTCTTTAATGCACTTTTTAATAGCTACTGGAAATATCAAAGCGCAGCAAAAAATTCTGCAACCAGAAACGTGGAAGTTTCTGTTTCCAGAAAACTTTGAAAATACGACAGGGACTTCATATATAGTGTCCCCCAAAATTAAGTATATATTAATCTCAAGATCGGCACGACTAGATCTAACTCCTGACACATTTAATGTTTCTGATCAAAAGTTTCTAATATTACAGAGTTACGCGTGACATTTATCCGTCCATCTATTCATACTGGGCTCTCGGAGGCCCGTTCGTTAGCTTTCCACGGCGCAACCCCGGGTTCCATTCCCAGTCGAAGCAAACATTAACTGTTCGTTTTCCTTGCAATGTCCCAGTATCTGTTGCTGTGTGACGATGAGAAAGTTTACTTCTCAGGTTGAGAAGACCAGGATACGGCGTAAGGATAGCTATGCGCTAACCACATCTACCCCTTAACCCACGGTTGCACTGCCGAGACGCCGTTGATAGGCCTTAGTTCTTCGTAAAGAGTTCTTGTGCGAAAGCACATACATCTATTTATACTGACATCTTGACTTTTGCGTACCAAATTACGTGTACCTCCACTCTACACCTATCTTAACCGTCTTTGGAAGAGCACTAATAGGCTTTCATCCTAATGTGCGGTTACAACTCAAAAGAAACAATGAATTTACAACCGAAAATCCAAAATCGTATTATTGTTATTTCAATATATTTTCTCCGTGCCTAGAGAGATTAATCAAGACCGCTTTGCCAGCCACTGCTAGGCTACTGCTGACAACGTAGCTGCAAATTATGACCCTGAACTCAATACGTCAACGCGTTTGGATTCAGATGGCTTACTTGCAAAAGGTCTCGACACAACTTCCTGCAAATCCATCAACCAACATAACTTTCATTTGTTTTCCGACCCATCAACATTATCCTTTATCTCAGTACTTTCTCTATACTGCGGTACAGGGCGGGAAAGTAATTTTTTTAACTAAAAAGGGCTTACAAATAGAACAGGCGTCTATAGATAAACGAGGGGAAAGAAGGTGGCGGGAAAATAAAAAAATAAATAAAAAAAACTAAAAAGGGACTTACGAAGAGAACAGAGAGTTACGAAAAGTCTAGAGATAAACGCGGGGGAGGGGGTGGCGGGAAAGTAAAAAAATAAATGAATAAAAAACTAAAAAGGGGCTTACGAAGAGAACATTGGTCTAGAGATAAACGCGGGGACGGGGTGGCGGGAAAGTAAAAAAATAAATAAAAAACTAAAAAGGGGCTTACGAAGAGAACTGTGGTCTAAAGATAAACGCAGGGAAGGGAGTGGCGGGAAAGTAAAAAAAAAAAAAAACTAAAAAGGGGCTTATGAAGAGAACAGAGTGTTACGGAGAGTCTAGAGATAAACGCGTGGGAGGGGGTGCAGAGCGGCGGCGGGGGGGGGGCAGTGCGGGTCAGTCGGCCGCGCGCGGGCGAGGCGCGGAGAAACCATACGTTGGGGCCCGGCGCTTTCCAGCCCGCGGGTCGCGGCGGCGGCGGCGGATGTTTCTGCTTTCGCACGCGCTGCCCTCGCGAGACGAGAGGACACCCCGCAGAGATCACGAGGAATCCGACCCCCGCCCCCCTGCCACCGCCGCGTCCCACTCGCCGGCCCATTCACGGCGCACGCGGGCGGAGAAAACGCGCCGGGGAAAAGGTAAACAGAGCGTTGCGGCTCTCGGGCGGCTCGCTTGGGAGAGAGGACGACGCATGCGTAGTAACGCGGTTCTCAGCGTCAATCACGAATTATTGCCTTGTTTTTCATTTCATGAATTGGGATGTGTTAATTATTACTCTCTGAAGATTCCGTTCTGGTAATCAATTTCGGCGGGGTATCTCTGAAGGCCATATCACACACACACACACACACACACACACACACACACACACACACACACACAAACAAACACAATATTCAGCTCAAAACATAAAAGCGTACTCTTTATACAATTTTAAAGTAATACTGGATTCGTATAAATGAAAATTAAATTTCGGATAATAAAGGTATTACTGTTTGTTTCTATAAAGAAATAAATAAAACGGCGAGTTCCTTGTTTCATTATTTTCTCAAGTTTAATTTCCACTAGTACCAGTGGAGTAAAATATGCAGATTGAATAAATTGAATGGTTATTATGGTTATATCTTATGCAAAAATATTTTGCTGTGTGATATGTTACGTACAAACGATACAGGAATGGTTTATAGGATAGTATATGCGTTCATAACCACGATACTTCTTCTAAATATCTCTTACATTTTATGCAGAGAGTTATAACTTGTAGGATCGGATATTTGTAAAGAAATAGTAATAATATATTTTTCAGTATTTACCAGTATCGTCCACGTTTTACAATTTGTGGTTAATAACAATAAAGTTTCACGTAGAGCCAAATCAGGAGTTAAAGAGTTTTAGAATATTTAGTCAAAAACAATTCTCAAAGGAGATACATCCCCAGCATTTTTTTCTGATTCAAGATATGAATTAAATAATTTATTCTGGCAGTAGTCTTTATGTATGTATTATTTTTATAATTATTATTTCTGATATTTCTCATCTTATTTGCAATAAAAATTAATCATTTCATTATCACTATAGTTTAAGTAGTTTTTCTATCCTTAAGGTTTTTTATTAGGGAAGAAGAATGATTCGTCATTAATACTTGTAATATTATCCTATCTTTTCAATCAATGAGACTTTTCCCACAAAACACACTAGATAAGTGACATCTACAATTAATTAATAACAACCGTTATTCAATTTGTTGATAAAATTCTGCTACATTAAACACATAAAATATTAGATTAAGCTCTGATAATTTTAAATATTAGAGCAGAAACGATGTAATAAAAAAGGTCTTTTATTCACCTTCATCTTGACCTTTCCACTTTGCATATTCCATTGCTTACGCACACCCCTACAATATTTGTTAAATGTTCAATATTCGTGGATTGGAATACTCACGTTCGCGAGTTGAAACCCGATCGAAGCCGTGGATTTTTAAGGGCGAGAGTAGGCTCCTTCGGAGGGGAAGTAAAGCCGACTGTCCCGTGTTAGTAGATTTACTGCATGTAAAAGAACCTCAAGCCTAAATGAAGCCTCTAAGCTAAATTCAAATCGCATGTTTCGGCGCCCAAGAAACACCTCCATTCTCCGCTAGTGGGTGAAAGGAGCGTACCAAAATTTGCGTGGTCAGACGGAAGAGCGAGCCTGATGGCCTGAGTGTCGCCACGCAAAACAAGGCATCAATTCAATTCAATTCAGTTCAATACTCTGCCTGGCAAAGAGCGGAGGAGACTCACCATTCCTGGACGTTGCGCGGCCAGTCGCAGCTCTTGGTGACGTCATTGAACACCTGCCCCATCTTGCAGCCGCTGCGGCGCGGGATCTCGCCGTTGATGCACACGTAGAAGAACTGGCAGTCCTCGGGGTCGGCGTAGCGCGGGTGCTGCTGGCCCTGGTCAGTGGACACCTTGGGGCACTCGAACTTCAGCACCTCTGGGGACAGCACGTCACAGATCATGTTTCGGGCGCTTAGGGAATGGAGCACGCAATTAAGTATTCGCAGTTTGGATTGCAAAGTTATGTGTTTTATCATTACTCGAAGTTAAAATTTAAAAAAAGCAGAGGTCAACTTAGATCAAAGCAATAAACTCGATTTGATACACTCGATAAATTTAACGTCGAAGGAGAAGGGAAGAAAACAAAAACTCATTTTCGAATATGGAAGTGAAAATACATTTGTAAACAATGACCGAGAGAATACGAATACAAATTTTGAAATATAATTTGTTTAGCATTTTTTTAAATGGCCATTTTTTGCAGTTCACGAAAACCACGAAACTATTTGAAACATGTGATATTTAATGATTGTAGAAATAAGACGGAATGATATAACTGCAACTGTAGAATTGTGGGCGCATCTGATTTTGTTTTAACATTTTCAGTTACTTGTAGTGTTAAAACGATTACGAAGAGTTACGCTTTAAAGTTTATTTTCCCTGGTTTCTTTAAAATTGCAATTTAATTTAAATTACTGTAGTGTGTCGCCTCCAAAACTGTTGTAAATGTCGTATAACTGTTTTTCTTTTTTGTGTGATTAAAACAACTGCAATGTGAGAAATTAATATTATATAGTGTTCTAAATATCTATTATCGTGTTTAAATTCTTATTAACAATAATTACTTATTGTTCTTAATGAACACATTCTTCATCAGCATTAATTATTTTTTTATGATAAATTTGAATTTAATGGAATCTTGGGATATGCTTTACGTCTTTTTCAATTGAAATGAACATCTTCTAAAACTTTTGCATTTGTTATTTTAGTTTCTTCTGAAAATTCTCGCATACTTCTAAAATACTACATTAACTACCTCTAAGATTGATTAAACATTCTTTTAAAATACTATTTATTGTCCATACACCATTCTTATTAATCTGTGAAAAATCTAAGCAGTTTCATCTCTTTCTAGTGAAAGGTCCGCTTAGATAATTATCTATGGTTATGTCCCCAATCAGACTTTATACACACAAACTACATCTAAAAAATGATTTTTTAAGTCGTAACGTTTGAAAGAGTTATTCAATTTGAATAATTTTTGTTGTTTTTTTTAAGGAAATGGCCCATACTTTTAACACCCATTTTTATAGAAATTAAAGTGAACAAAAATAATAGAAAAAATTGAATGTCAAGTTTTTTTTAATAAAAATATGTTTTTTTTAGTTTTCTTATTCTAACTGAGTGGAAATGTGCAAGGGGTTATTTCCTTAGCAGTATATTTTAAACTTCTCAACTCCTTTTTTTTCGTTTGCAAACGGTGAAAGAACGCGTCTTACCCTCGGAAGAGCAGCCCTTCTTCTTGGCCTCGTCGGGCCACGTGCAGATGCCGGTCTTCTCGTTGTACACGAGGCCGTCGGGGCAAGTGATCATGTTGAACTTGCCGTCCACGCAGAAGTAGAACTTGTCGCAGATGTTGGCCTGCTCGTGGGAGAAGTAGCCGTTCTTGCGCGGGCAGTGCAGCGACGGCTGCGGGGTCTCTGTGGGCAGACGGGCGACGGCCCGGTGAGCGACAACAAGTAGCCAACACGTGCGATGCAGCTCCCTGGCGGAGAGAGCATCTCGGGCGTGGAAAGTATCACGACCGACCAGTTCGTTGGAGGAGTTTTACTGCTTCAAATTATGTATTATGGGAGGTACTGAAGCTCAAACAAAAAACTTCATCATGTAATTAAGGTCAAAAGTAGCATTAACAGTATTAGATCGTGTGAAGACAGTATCATTTGGAATTATTGCGAATAATGAATAGTTGATGACCGGAATTATATACACATTTTCCTATTATTACTGTCTAAAATGTTATTTAATTGATGCTGAAAAAATTGGTCAAAATTTTTGTAAAATATTTCACACTATTATCGATATTTTTGTAATAACTAATTGTGTTGGGAGTGAATGTAATTGAGACAATTTCTTTAATATACAATACCTGAAAGCCATTTGCATTTGAAAAATTATCCAAGTATTGTAAGAAAACACATTGCTCTTTATGGTTATCAAAATTTCAAGCCCAGGCATCAGATATATTATCTCAATAATTATAATTTAAGAAACGTTTGTAAATGTTTTTCTCACTCTTAATTTTTACAGCAAATATTTTGTATGTACGTAGTGCACTTACTCATATGTGTCTGAACTATTTCTAAAGTAAATTTATGCGATGATAACTCCAAGACTACGTATATTATACTCTTGTGATAATTACCCATAATTATGTTTAACCTTATTACAGATATTTAATCATTGATCCTGATCGTCATATTTTATCAAAGGGGCAACAAATTTGCAAAAATTGTTGGGCACTGAAATGGATAAATTTCGAAATGTAGCTACTTATAAGTTTTTGACAGTAACATGTTTCGGTTATTCGTAAAAAAAGGTCTTACATGACCACTTCGTTTCTAGTCTAGAATCGAAGAAACCGACAAGGCGTCGTACTCACGCAATGTAATAAAATGCAAGTCATCCAAAATCTAAGTACAATAACAAATGCACCATAGTATGTTACAAACTACTGCATCTAGTAGAATTTAACCTAGAGCCAATTAACCATTAGCCTTATCAATATCGTACGCTAGCGTACGCTAGCCTTTTCAGTATATGAATTCACGTGGTGCCAAAACCCAATCCACTACACAAGAACTAAAAACAAATATCCATTTCACATATTCCTCAAAACGAACTTCAAAACGGAATAAAGAGAGGTACCTCAATAGTTTTCTTCAACCTCTTTTATTAGCTGTACTGTTTTTTTTAGCCTTAAGTCACCAATACGTGTGATAAAGTAGTAGCAACCGAACCACGTAATTCTCTTAAAATAAAAATTAAAAAAAACTACTCACGCAGCTCCGATCGCTTGGAGCAGTCGATGTTGAAGGGCAGGTCGCACTTCTCCTGGTCGGGGCTGTAGTCGTTGAAGACCATGCCGTCGGGGCAGAGCTTCTCGGTGATGGCGCCGTCGCGGCACTCGTAGTACTTGTCGCACTGGAAGCCGTCGGCGAAGAAGCCGTTGGGCTCGGGGCACTCGTCCGCCAGCTCGTCGTCGCCGCCGCCGATGACGGGTGGCGGCGCGGGCGTCGTCTTGGGCCCTGAGGGCCGCCGCGACCCGCCCCCGCCGCCCGGCCGCCGCGCGGGCGCCTGCGCCCACGACAAGCCTGCAACCGCCAACCGGCGTGTTATTCACTGTTTTATTAATTATTCTATTTTAAAATCTATTGTTTGTTATTCTCTTCGATATACGCTGCATAACTTACCTGGATCGAGAGGACCGTGGTTACGTGGTTCTATATTACAATATGCTCTCTTATGGAGTGAATTATGAGAGAAAATTAACTAAGGGTATTGTGGGAGGGGAATATGAAAAAAACAATAATGTTAACATCTAGTTAATTAATAAATAAGTAAATGTGAATCAATAAAATTAAGTAAAAAATAAAATCATGTACCACGGCCGTTAACTGATTCTAAAGATCGAGCGGCGACAAAAGCCCCAACGTCTTTGGCCGAGGGCGTTTTGTCGCCGCTCGATCATTGGAACGCTTAATCGCCCTTGATATGTAAATAACTATTTAATTTCTTGTTTCACAATTACCTTTAATTTTCTGTTTAGTATTATCTTTATTTATTTTATAATTTATTTTTAATTTCTTGAAGGATAAAAAAATTGGCCAGTTCCCAATCAGCAGACTGAGACGTGTTGATTACACCTCATTTTTTCTAAATGGTGAACTAACCGGGTCTAACCGTGGGGGACGGAGGGAGGGACGGATAAACACACACACACACACACACACAGGTCGCCCCAAAACGTTACAATGATTTATTTATTGAGATTTAGGAATACTTCAACGGCTGTGGTCATTGAGACTCACGAATGAAGATCTCATTTGTAATTAATTGATTGTCTGATTGATGTTTCTGGTCCGTTAATGTAGCTAATATTATATATGGCTGGAGGTGGCGATGTACCTCCCTGCTGGGTGGTTAGATATGGCGCCGACATACACGTCATCTTGCGTGGTTCCCTCTCCTGGTATTCTCCCAGCGAGTCACTACCCCAGCCGGGTCAAGCTCTAAGCTCCCGACTAGCCTCTCGGCTAATGTAGGAATCTAGAGCAATTTGGTATAAATGTGTGTAATGGAATGAGGATGGGACAAAGAAGAGAAAAAAAAGTTCCCGTACGGCGTGAGTTGCGTGCATTTGTTCGAGAACCACTCCAAATTCGCCTAGCATTGACAGCAGAAACCACAGAAAACTTCCAACAAGAGCAGCCGGCTCCAGACAGCGGCTGAATTGGACCTAGTGGTCTAGCTCGTATCAATACTCTATCATAATCGGAACTTCATTCATAGAACGTACCGGTCATATTCGCTGCATATTCAGATTTTTTCATACAAGTATTTTATTAAAATTATTATTTTTCTTCAATTGTAATGATTAAAATTTTAATCTTAGTTCGATTAATATCATAGATAACTTTATTGAAAATGAAAAATTTAGGAATGTAGATGCCTTGATAATTTTTCACAGCCATATCGGTATTACGTGGATAACGAATTCATGAGCCTGATCAATATTCATGAGCAGTATCACTGGTATAACTTGAAAAATACAAATGCTAATGGTATCCATACATCAATTATTATGGATGTAAGACAATTTTCAACTGCCAGAGAAAACTTAAAAACGTTTATCTCAAAACTTCATTTTTCTAGCTATCGCAGAATTGCAGCACAGGAACGATGTACTGGATTCTTGCCATATTCACATTCAAAACAAGCAAGTAAGTTCTGTAATAAATCTCAAGACTCCATGAACTTTACTTCCATTGAAGGTATGCGTCGTGCGACATTCAGATGAATGTCAAGGACAACTATCATGCCAATAATGTAAAAGTCACTGAATTTGTAGACTAACTTTATATGACTCCCAATTATTTCAATAGAATAATGACGACCAAAATTTGAGTATTATTTAATTTTAATCGTGTTTATTTTGGTGTAGTTCTGAAAATGATAATTGTTATAAAATTTACATACAAAGAAACAGATGGATATGTATTAACTTCTAAGACAAATAACTCGTTTTAAAGAATGTATATCTTTGAATGTAACATTTTTAAGGTGTTAATTATGTTTTATATATTTAAAAATTAAATTAATATTACTTGATCGGCACATATTTGGTGCACATCCGGACAATTATTTTTTTTTCAAAATAACCTTCTTTGAAATACAGATGGACTTCATCTGTTATTCCACATACATCATGATAACTTGTCAAGCTTACAAGAGTATCGTTCATTAGCTTCGGTATTGATTAAACATGTACCAAATATCGTGAGTTCTTGGCTGTCCTTGTGACGCCGCGTCGTTGGCTGAGAGGCCGACGTTTCACCTGTCATGTTGCAGGCTTCCTCGGCGTAGTACCTACCCTGAGTAAATTCACTACCCTGAGGAAGCCTGCGAAATGACAGGCGAAACGTCGACCTCTCAGCCAACGACGCGGCGTCACCCGGACAGCCAAGAACTCATGAAATCGAGCCGCGGAAGCTTACGTGTACATGTAACAAATATCCTCAATTAGGCGTATTTTCTTTCCAATCAAAAGATTGCATTTATATCCTCGTTGGTTAAATTGAATTGAATTAATGTCTTATTTCACGTCGCGGGACTCGGGCTATCAGTACCGCTCTTCCGTCTGACCACGCAAATTTCGCTACGCTTCTTTCACCAACTAGCAGAGAAATGAGGTATTTCTCGGGCGAAAATAGGTGATTTGAATTTAGCTCAGAGGCATCATTTAGGCTTGAGGATCATTTACATGCAGGTAAGTCTACTAACATGGGACAGCCGGTTATACTTCCTCTCCGAAGGAAGGCGAACCAAGAATTTTTTTCGCCCTTAAAAATCCACGGCTTCGATCGGTTTTGAACCCACCAAATCGTTGGTTCTCCGGGCTTCCGAAGTTCAGAACAAAATTGAAAGTCGGCGAGGCCGTACTCATTAGCTCCGGAAGTGGCCCTGAGCTTGCGGAAGGCGGCCGCCGTTGACCGCGGGCGCGGCCTCCGGCCCGGCTGCAGCAGTTCGCTGCCACGGCGAGGCCGCGGCGCCACCCTCGCCTGTTCCGTTAGGGCGCCTTCACACGTCACCACAGCGGCGCGCTTCCGACCCGCCGCTGCTCCCAAGAGCATTGCTTTTCACCGGATTTGGTTGTCACCGGAGGATTGGACGAACAAAGATACCGCGACAGGGAAAACGCCCCGACCGGCGGCGCAGTGGGAATGCTATCATTTAAAGCTGTGTTCTGCTAGCGGCGGCGCGTACGCCTTCCTGCGTTTCTTGTGGCGAGGGTCCGGCGCCGAACACAGCAGCGGTGCGAACCTGCCGCACGTGGGAAGGTCTCCATTTAAACCAATGCTCTGCTACGAGTCGCGGCGTTCGGAAGCGCGCAGCAGTGGCGACGTGTGAAGGGGCCCCGGAACTTGGTAGAAGCGGGGAGAGGTGGGGCGAGTTGAGGCGCACGTTTCTGGCTCTGCCGCTGGATGGCGTATTGTGCAGAGATAGGATGCGTTGCTCGGTTTTTTAGTTTTATTTCTGTTTTATACTGTATGCGAATACAAATAAAATGTAATCTCGTATTCAACGGCAATACAATTACTCGCTTCCAGACGTTTTTTTTAAGAAAATGCTTTTCTTAGTTCTCATTTTACTTACTCGAATTGTAATTAAAATGCTGTTTGAGCTGTTCAAAGAATTGACTGCCCAGAGCGAGAAAGTCATTGGGCGTAAACTAGAGGATCCGGATTCATTTCCCGGGACAGTGAATTCTTTGAACTGCTCAAACATCATTTATAATAATTACACTACTACGCTTAGTAGCCATGGAGTTGCAGTAGTTGTAGGTATTTGAAATAGAAAGCTTATTCGAACTTAATTGTCAAGTCTTGTTTAATTAATCGTCATATGGTTGTGAAGCACTGCGACAGGGTGGGGAAAAATAATTTATAATTAACTTTGACATTAATTGAACACTTTTGACATACCCATTGCCATATTTTCCTCTTAATACTTTCACACTATCTAAAATCTTTCCATTCCTACTTATATGCGTTTCTATTACATTTACAATGTTATTACCTTCTACCTAATACCGTTTATTATATCTTACCACCTTTTTTCCTTTACGTCTTATACTCAACCCACTTTATCTCCCTTACATATTCATTATTACTACTCTCCACCAAAGTTATCGTCATTTTCAATCCCTGCCTTTTTACTTATTTTTATTGCATTAACATTAGATATCATTAGTGACTGATATTATTGGCCATTGCAGTGTAACAATTTTTCCCATTTTAGACATTTTTTTTACATCTTCCATGCACTACTAGGACCTTTTTTGTTAAGCTCTTCTTGAAATTTTTCCTCACATCTACCAATTACATGCTCCTAATGTTACGTTTTAAAACTAAACCCCCTGCTCAATCATTCCCCCTCGTTATTTTGAATAAATTGTTGTATTGACACAAATGACACACTTTGAGTCTTTTGCAGAGTCTACGGAATTCTCATCATAGACTTAATTTTCACCTATTTGAACTATTTGCTTCAATACGTATTTTAGTTCGTCTGCCTGCCTAAATTATTACGATCGACCTTCCTAATCTTGTTAAGCTACAAATAGTTGTTTGACAAGATATTTCCTTAAATAAGTCATTCAAATAAGAGAAATGGAGCTGTTTGTAAGCCGATTTCATTGATTAAAGAATTATTAACATTCAATTATGACGTACTCACTTGATATGACGGAAATTTCCCTTATTGGAACACAATATCGCTTGTCACAAACTATGCGTTGTGGAACGTATGTGTTCATGGTTGCTTATGTCTGTGACGATTTAGCAGGTAAATGAACACTAAGACGGGTTTCAATTCTGCTTACTAGAAAGTGGAAATTCGTTGAAACTTGAAAGTCACTCGAACTGCGAATTAATGCGACCGGCAGCCAGTATATTTTTACTTAATGACACGTATATTCTACTTTAGTTTCTTTCATTTCTTTTTCTTAATAGACTACGGTTCATTTTTGCCTTTGTTTTAGTCTTTTTTGCTTTGTAGACTACAACATTCTTTTTATTTACAATATTATGCAGTTAACTTCAAGAGATTTTTATCACTGTTGGAGGCCTTCCATATCTCGTAGTCGTTGTGATTATTCCAACACGCTTTCTGCGCTGTTTTTTCGAAATATCAATCACATGCATTATGGGGAATTTCCTTTGAGTCATATTTCTTATTATTTAACAACGAAACCTTCCTGGAAAGCTGCAAGCTAAAAGGGTCAAGCCAACATTCACGAATATTGCAACAAGCAGTCGAGTGTGTCAACAGCGTAAGGAAACAAAAAGCAGACGCGTAGAACCTGTTGTACGGAGGCGAGCTGCAAGTCCGCAAGCGTCTCCGCCAGTGCAGGATGTTGCGCGGCTGGCGACTGGGCGGGGCGAAGCGACGGGCTATGCGCTGGCGCTGGCGCGGGCGAGGGCGAGGCGCGGGTGCGCACGGCATTTAAATGGCGGCGGCGGCCGGGCCGACGGCCTGCAGAGGCCGACCCAGCCACCAGCGGGGACCCCGGTATAAAAGGCGCTTGTCGCTAACAGCCTCAGGGACGGATTTATCATATAATATCAAGGCTTAATCGACATAATGATCTCAAAATTAGTCTGAGTTTGACAGCTAATCAAATGAAAGGGTTTTTGAGAATGACTGTAGTAGTAGTTGTAGAAAGTAGTAAAATGAGCACTCGCGGACGGCTAAAATTTCGTTGGAAGAATTACTGACCACGGCAACTGCAACTGCTACAGAGTCGGCAGGATGGAAAAAAGGAAGTCGGTTATATCGAGGGACGTGTGTGAGAACGACGCAGACATGTAACCCCAAAGTCGATGCGGTAAGCGCTAGCGTCAGGCGGCACGGCGAGGTGGCAGCGGAGGCGATGGCGGTTGCAGGCGCCAGCACTTTCCCCGCGAGGTGAAGAGCGCTGCTCCGACCACTCGTAGCGAGGCGTCGCGGCGGGCAGGGCGACCGTGGCGCGGCGTGTCGACGTGGTGGAGAACGCAGCAGTTTGGCGGCATTGACAATATTGAGACATGCACATATTGGAGGTGACGTTGTTGTTCACAGTGCACGAGGAAGAAATTTAAAATCGTATATGGGAAATATCTATGGATTGGAATTCTATAAATGTTAAAAGTGAAAAAATGGTGAAGGACGCTTTTCTTCTTTTTCTTCGTCTTCTTTTTCTTCGTCTTCTTTTTCTGCTTCTACTTCTTCTCCTTTTTTGTGAGATTTGAGAAAGTTTAAATTTGATGTTACTTGGGAATATTATTACATTATTTTTGATAGATTTCTAGAAAATCAAGAAGAAAAGTTTTTAATTCAGCGTGAAATTTAATTTAATGCTAGCATAAAGTGATAATATTACATTAAGCTGGTACATCGCGTTTACAACGTCAGATTCATTTTCTAAAAGATGGAAAATACATTTTCCATAGTATCTTATCATATTAATGTCCTTCGGTGTTTCTTCACTGAACACATTACATTTTTAATTCTAGTACAGAATTATTTATCACAATGTAAATTTACAAATATTATTGATACGTGTTTCTTACATTAACATAATTCTTTAGTTTGTTCAATGTTGTCTTGCAATTGTGTTCCAATACGTATTAAGTTAACAAATGGAACAAGATTTGAAACTTTCGATACCCACCATCTCCAAACAATGTAATCACCAAAGAGAATGTGTATTTTAGCCGAAAAACATTTACAGTTATTGTAAATATTTTAAAAAGTATTTTGAGATTTCATTTATGGTTTAAGTCGACTATATTTTCTAATACCATTCTACTTGTGAATATTGTAGTTGTATTGTCTTTTTAAGAAGTTCATTGTCTGAGACAATGATATTATAATGTACGATGTTTTCATTTTCTTTTTCATAATGGATCTTGACATTTGCCACATCGCTGTACTGTTCTCTCGTCTGTTATTCACTGACAGGCTTGCATGCAGTAAATGCTATGGCATAGGCAAGAAAAACTTCACAAATGCCGACGAAGCCGTTGGTGGTGTCTTCTGGCCACTGGCCAGTAATAATGGGCTATTCGACTTGACAAATGTGATACAAGACTTTTATACTGATGATGCTCAAATATGGAACGCCATAAAACTGCCATGGACCCAAAATGAATGAAATTCCGTTAGAGTCTGTCTTTGCATGTCAGTATCCAAGACTTACTTAACCTTTTTTGCCTGACCTTGAATTGGTAAGTGAACTAACGTTAACCAGTCGATGACCTTAGCAGATAGCATTTTTGCTTGCATCCTTGGTATTTCATGTTCTGTTGTGTTCGCAATTTTTTACCCTCTTGTGTCAGCCGTATCTCAAGAAGAACAGTAATTAAAAAGTTTGGAAAGACTGCAGAAATGTTCTATTAAACTTTCTAGGAAATTGTTTTCTCGTAGTATTTTTGTTAGTATTATCCTGCTATTATTTTGATACAGATAATAATGTTTAATAACCAAACTCAACCACTGAAACATACTTGAATGACACTCTTAGAACATTTTGACGCTCTTAGTACAAGAATTGTACAGTTAACAGTGTTTCCATGCCCGATAATTGGCTGGAGCATAATCTCATAACTTCAAGAAGGCAATAAAGAGTCTCAAGGTAGTGATTACGAGGGGTAGTATTTCGAATCTGAACTAATGTAGTAAGTGTAACAGTACAGGGACTAGAAACGACAAAGATCATAAGAACTATACCAATAAGTAAATGCAAATCAAAAGATCCCTGATCATAAAATTTGTTTCATTATTTGGTTAGTGTACAAAATTCAGTCTATCGGAATTCGAAATGAAATGGGCCAAGTAATGCTTGCCCCCATCAAATCTCCTTTAATTCCAATCCGTCAGTATTAAAGGCGGCCATCGGTCGGATATTCAAAGGAAGTGCGGAAGTCCGTGGGCAGGAAGCGAAGGGCGTCCTCGAGGCCGGAGGAAGCGGGGCGGGTGGCGGAGGCGCCCTCGCCAGGGGTCGCGGCGCGGCGGCGTAACGGTACAGCGCGGTGGCAATGGCGGTGCGTCGCGACGCTGCGCGGCGCCACGTGACCTCCGCGCCGGGCGGCCTTGGAGGCAGCCGCCGTGCCCATTTGCGGAGCAGCCAGCGCCGCCCTCGGCAAGGCCAGACCAGCCGCCCGGCAACGCACCGCCCCAGCCGCAAAGCGAACAGTCCTCTAGCGGAGGAATCCCGCACCGACCCAGCCACAAACTGAACAATCCTCTAGCGGAGGAATCCCATTTGTTTCGGTTTTCCTGCGACAGTCCGGGTTTTTAACCTTTGTCCTGGTGTCCCAATAAACCATTGCAAAACGCTAAAATGACCCGGGCTTTTATAAAAACAAAAGGTTTCGATATTTTCTGGTAGCTTGTATGGTTATTTTAAATCCGTGGCTTTGAATTTTCTAATGAATTGTTGATAAGGAAGATTTGTTTGTTCGTTTGCCTCATCCTCTTCGTTGGCATGTTTAGTAGCGAAGAATAAATAGTATTCCAAATAATTGAGGGTATTTTAATAACGTTTTATTTGAATAAAAAAGCAACTTAATTCCCGAGAGAAAATGACAATTAGGTGAAAATTTAAAAGCGCAACTCCTATTTATAAAAGTAATTATTGACTATTCCAAAAACAAAGTGTAATATGACATCTGCCATGC